GCATGGGGAGGAACAGGGCTGTACCAAGCACGAGCGGGCCTCGCGAAGCCCGTCGTCACGTTGAATTTGCGGCAACAATCGGCAACAACGACATTATCGCGCCGATGCCGCTCAAACCGCAGGGCCCGCCCTGTTTCGACCCGAGCCAACGAGGAGGTCCGACGGTTCGATCGTGGGTCTTCACGATGAACGTTTTTTTCGACGCGAATTACGTCGAGTCGGACGCAGCGAAGATTCGATATGCTGTTTCGCTGCTAAGGGGCCCCGCCATGGACTGGTGGCGAGTCATTGTGACGTCGCCACGCGCCTACGAGCCTCCGTCGCAAGAGGAAGAGCCCACGGGTCCAGCCGTCACCTGGAGTTCGTTCTGCGAAACCGCCCAGTACAGCACGTGGGATGCGTGGTGCGCAGGGCTTCGAGGGCGCTTCGAGCCGATTGCGGCTTCTATTTCGGCGCGTCAGAAACTGCGTACTTGGCGACAACTTGGGTCGGTCCAAGACTACACCAGCGGTTTTCTCGCATTATGCGAGCAAGTCGGCTACATGCACGAAGCGGAGCGGGTGGACCGTTACGTCGGAGGGCTGAAGCCGGACATCTCGCACGAAATCATGCTACGCGTGCTCTCGAATTTCAACGAGATCCTCGCGCTCGCCGAGAAAATCGACATTTTGCGCCGTCCGAGACCGGGGTCCTACTACGGACATCGCCCTCGGGGACCGACCGAGCACGCCACCGTACACGCCGTTGCGGCGAATGCAGGTGCTGCGCCATTTAAGGGGCGCTGCTTTGCTTGCAATAGGCCAGGCCATCGCAAGAGCGTATGCCCAGAGGAGCCCTTAACCTTTGCCTGGTATCATCCTTAACCTTTGCCTGCCTGGTATCATCCTTAACCTTTGCTTGGTATCATCCTTAACCTTTGCCTGGTATCATCCTTAACCTTTGCCTGGTATCATCCTTAACCTTTGCCTGGTATCATCCTTAACCTTTGCCTGGTATCATCCTTAACCTTTGCCTCGTATCATCCTTAACCTTTGCCTGGTATCATCCTTAACCTTTGCCTGGTATCATCCTTAACCTTTGCCTCGTATCATCCTTAACCTTTGCCTCGTATCATCCTTAACCTTTGCCTGGTATCATCCTTAACCTTTGCCTGGTATCATCCTTAACCTTTGCCTGGTATCATCCTTAACCTTTGCCTGGTATCATCCTTAACCTTTGCCTGGTATCATCCTTAACCTTTGCCTGGTATCATCCTTAACCTTTGCCTGGTATCATCCTTAACCTTTGCCTGGTATCATCCTTAACCTTTGCCTGGTATCATCCTTAACCTTTGCCTCGTATCATCCTTAACCTTTGCCTGGTATCATCCTTAACCTTTGCCTGGTATCATCCTTAACCTTTGCCTGGTATCATCCTTAACCTTTTCCTGGTATCATCCTTAACCTTTGCCTGGTATCATCCTTAACCTTTGCCTGGTATCATCCTTAACCTTTGCCTGGTATCATCCTTAACCTTTGCCTGGTATCATCCTTAACCTTTGCCTGGTATCATCCTTAACCTTTGCCTGGTATCATCCTTAACCTTTGCCTGGTATCATCCTTAACCTTTGCCTGGTATCATCCTTAACCTTTGCCTGGTATCATCCTTAACCTTTGCCTGGTATCATCCTTAACCTTTGCCTGGTATCATCCTTAACCTTTGCCTGGTATCATCCTTAACCTTTGCCTGGTATCATCCTTAACCTTTGCCTGGTATCATCCTTAACCTTTGCCTGGTATCATCCTTAACCTTTGCCTGGTATCATCCTTAACCTTTGCCTGGTATCATCCTTAACCTTTGCCTGGTATCATCCTTAACCTTTGCCTGGTATCATCCTTAACCTTTGCCTGGTATCATCCTTAACCTTTGCCTGGTATCATCCTTAACCTTTGCCTGGTATCATCCTTAACCTTTGCCTGGTATCATCCTTAACCTTTGCCTGGTATCATCCTTAACCTTTGCCTGGTATCATCCTTAACCTTTGCCTGGTATCATCCTTAACCTTTGCCTGGTATCATCCTTAACCTTTGCCTGGTATCATCCTTAACCTTTGCCTGGTATCATCCTTAACCTTTGCCTGGTATCATCCTTAACCTTTGCCTGGTATCATCCTTAACCTTTGCCTGGTATCATCCTTAACCTTTGCCTGGTATCATCCTTAACCTTTGCCTCGTATCATCCTTAACCTTTGCCTGGTATCATCCTTAACCTTTGCCTGGTATCATCCTTAACCTTTGCCTGGTATCATCCTTAACCTTTGCCTGGTATCATCCTTAACCTTTGCCTGGTATCATCCTTAACCTTTGCCTGGTATCATCCTTAACCTTTGCCTGGTATCATCCTTAACCTTTGCCTGGTATCATCCTTAACCTTTGCCTGGTATCATCCTTAACCTTTGCCTGGTATCATCCTTAACCTTTGCCTGGTATCATCCTTAACCTTTGCCTCGTATCATCCTTAACCTTTGCCTGGTATCATCCTTAACCTTTGCCTCGTATCATCCTTAACCTTTGCCTGGTATCATCCTTAACCTTTGCCTCGTATCATCCTTAACCGCACATATACTTTGTCCCATCTTGATGCCTCTCATGCCCTTTATCTCTCCTCCATGCCCTCTTTATATCGTTCGACCGTCCTGCCCGTCTCTTGATTCGCTGCACCGTGCCTGCCCCGGCAGGTCACTTTGTGGTGCTCTGTGGGTTTGACAGCCACTCGAGGATGTTTGAGATCTGCGACCCCTCCTCGCATGGGTATGTGCTCCCTCGCTCCTCGCATGGGTATGTGCTCCCTCGCTCCTCGCATGGGTATGTGCTCCCTCGCTCCTCGCATGGGTATGTGCTCCCTCGCTCCTCGCATGGGTATGTGCTCCCTCCCGCCCTGCATGGTATTCACACGATAATTAGATAAAACGTTTTCGTTCTTACCCACAGTTATGCTTCTTCTTCTTCCCTAACTTCTTCCCCTTCTTTTCGTTGTCCCTTTTTTTCTTCTTCCCTGTCCTCTTGTTTCCTCTCTTTTCCTCTTCCCTCTCCTTTCTCCTTCCCTCTCTTATTTTGTTCCCTCTTTTTTCTTCTTTCCTCTCTTTTCTTCTTCTCTCTATTCCCTCCCTTTTCATGGCTCTCCCCCCCAGTGGCACATCATGGGTGCCCATGGCAGCAGTGGAGGATGCACGCATGACATTCGGCACCGACCAGGATCTTATTCTGGTAAGCACAATCGGATTCTGTTGAGCACTATCCGATTCTGGTGAGCAGGGGTGGTGGTGCATGAAGGGGAGACATGGGAAAATACACGTGGATGGGTCATGGCGAAGTGTGGGGGGAGAAGATGAACATGTACCTGGTAGGAGGATAGCATGTGGTGCTGCCATGGTTAGCATAGGGTGGAAACTCATTGTTATGATTGAGGAAAGCACTTCATAGTCATTCCGTTTCATGACTCTGCTGAGCTGATTGTGTTTTGGCAGATTCGACTTCCAGTTTCACCAGGGGACATCAAGATGAGCAGTGCACTCGCAAATCAGGAGGCACGAGTGTGCTGCTAACATTCCAAGCCACTTTCAGGAGCAAGGTTGGGTAGATAGATTTACTAGGTTACAACAATATAGCTTAGCAACTCAAGTTAAAGGCTTAACGTCAGATGTGCCGGTACAGTGATGCGACACGTTTTAGTCTAAGAAGAATGGCGTATTAGAAAAAAAAAATCAAACTCTATGGTTTCGAAATACCCTGTTCTCGTTATATGGTACATGTGTTGTACAGGGTACTAAAGTTGCTCTACTCTCAGAGTTTTTAGGAGCAGATTTGGGTTAAGTACAGAAAGGCAGTATTAAGAATTACACACACCTTCATTCTGTCTCCTCTCAGTTCACATTTCTGAAGACTAGCGTAACGAGTACAACTCTTGGGACAATCTTGTCTTTCGAAGTTTGAAAGATCAACAGCAGTGCAAAGCGCAGCGCCCCTTCAAGCACTACAACCCCAGCCACGTGTGACATTGCACGATTGTCAAACCAACACTCTTGCATGCTCGTTGCGAGGGTGAGCGTGAGCATCGTCAAAAGAGTAGCCTTTCAACTTTTTTGGGCTAGCCTGTAGGATCACGCGACGCGACGGTATCTTGGCAGCGACGTGTTTTGATAATGGAGTCTCGAACGCGTCGCAATACCACAAGCAGGAATCGGACTCGTAGTTGTCAGATAACCGACCTGGAGCAGCTAGGCGAAGGCGTGCGACGGCTCACGAACGAAATTGTTTACGGTGACGCCCTGCGATCCTTTGCGTGCGACGCGGGCACCCTGGCGAAGCAAGGAGCGCCATTCGCGAAAAAGGCGGACGAAGAGTTGCATATCGTCAACACCCGCGTCTGGCTGCCTGCTGGCGTTACTCCGCTTGACTCGTTGGCGCTTATCGCGTCGCAGATGAGCGCGCAGTCCTCGCCGTTGATCGCGGTGTGTTTCGTAACAGACGTTCTTCACATCTCTCCTCTACTCCCTTGATTTTTGTTGTGCAGTTGTTGGTAACTTTGTTACAACCCTTGGCAACTTGTATTGCTTTACGTTTTGTTTTCCTCGACTTTCTTAAAATTGTCTCTTTCGTTTTTTCGCTGTAAACTTCTGCTCCTCACAGGACCTTCGCCGTAGCTTGCTGGACGCGGGTCGGCCGCGCGTGGCCGGCTTGAGGCGCCTCTCCATCGGCGCGCTTAGGCTGCTCGCCGCCCTCCTCGGCCTCCCGCTCCCCCTCCCCCTCCCCCCCGCGGGCCGGCCTCCCGCTGCCCCTCCCGCCGCATTTACTCGCCGCGCAACTTCCGCCGCAAGGAACGCCGCTTCTTCCGCTTTTGGTGCCAAAACTTCCCCCCAAAGCACGACCGCCGGTTGCGGGCGTTTGGAGGAGTTGATAGACCGCGTTCTGACAGATTCCGTTTGGAAAAAGGGCGATTTGCCTTCCAGAGTTGACGGAGAAATGCAGGGGAGACGGGAGAGAATGATGACGGAAGGGGAGCTGCGCGCCGAGGGCGACGCGGGGCGGAATCGGCGGAAGGGGGTAGAAAGGCGGAGAGAGGGGGAAAGGGGGAGGGAGGGGGAAAGGAGGAGGAAGGGGGAAAGGGGCAAGGAGGGAGAAAGGAGGGAGGTGGAAGGGGGGAGGGAGGGGAAAAGGAGGAGGGAGGAGAAAGGGGTGGAGAGGGATTTGCGGAAGAGCGGGGAAGGACGGAGGGAGCATGCGGTGAGGGAGAGGTATGCTGGCGAAGGAAGGGATGCAGTGAGGTGCGGAGGGATGGAGAAGGATAAGGCGAGGGGTGGAGGGATGGATGCGGAGAGGGCGGATGCTGTAAAAACCAGCAACAGGGATGGCGGGTGTAGCAGGGGCGAAGGGTGGGCGTTGGGGCCACAGCAGGCGGGGCAGCGCAGGAAGCGGGTGAAGGCAGTGGCGATGGCGGCAGGGGGAGGTGCATGTGAGAGGGCGGGCAGGCATGGGCCTGGTGGGGGAGGGGTTGGGGGAGGGGGTGGGGGTGGGGCCGTGGAGTGTGTGGTGTGTGCGAGTGTGGCGAACGGTGAGGCTAGTGGGGCGATGGCAGGAGATGCAAAGGTGGGCAAGAGTGACTCGCCCGTGCTTCTGATGCCTCCGTTGCCGCTGCTGCCCGTGCTGCCCGTGGCGCCTGTGCTGCCAGCAGTGCCAGGGAGTGCAGGCAGGAGCACAGTGGGCGGGCGGCGCCGCCGGAGTGCAGCAGAGTACTTTGGAAGCGGTGGGGCTGACAGCAGGGCTTGTGGGAGGGGCGCTGGCGCATGTGAGCGCGCTAAGGGCGGCGAAGACCTGGAGTGTGTTGTCAGCATGGTAGGGTGTGAATGTGGTGCGCGCAGCACCGCGTGTGAAGGTGCCCGCCCCACTGTGTGCTCCGCTTTTGCCAGACGCGGGTCAGGACAAGGGAACGAGGTGGGGCGATGGAGAGATGGGGGAAACCAGAGCAGCGAGGGAGATTGGCAGACGAAAGGGAGAGGAGGGACAGAAGGTGGGGGAGAAAGAGGAAAGGCGGCAGTGGCGTGGGACAGGTGTGCTGTTTCGACTGTGCGCGATGCTTCTGCATCTACTGCTGCCATTCCCCCTCCTGCAGTGGCTCGTATTACTCCACCACCCGCCGTTTCCCCTCCAGAGGCCACAAGCTCACTCCACCAGCCATGTTTCCTTGAGAGCTCACAGATGGAGTGTGCGGAGCGCAGAGCAACGATGGGGTGCACTGCGAAGGCTGGGAGGGATGTACCAGGGTTGGCAAGAGGGGGCACTGAGAGCAGCAGGGCACGCGGAGGCTACACTCGGGGAACCCAAGCAGAGCTGCACGCGTGGCAGTGCGCTGAGAGCAGGTCCGAGAGGCATGTTGGGAGCCGGTCTCGCTCCGTCACCCCTGAGCCATCTGCTGGTGATCTCGACCTCTGTGTGGACAGGTGTCTCGCTATGATTGGTGGAGCAGAGGACAGGGCGTTGGCACTGCCGGCCATGAGGAAGCTTCCATGCAAGGGGGCGGCAGATGGGGGCTGTTTGGGGCTGTGGGGATCCCTCAAGCAGTGTGTGTGCGTGAGGTGGGGGGTGTGCAGGGTTCGATCAGGCTGGAGCATATGGCAAGAAGGGCTGCTGGGGGGAGCTTTCCGGCTGCTGCTAATGGTGCTGCTGGTGCTGCTGCTGGTGGCGGTGGTGGGGGTGCTTTATTTGGGGACGTGGGGCGAGTGGCGTTTGCACGCCACAAGGAGATGCTGAGGGCAGCAGGGAGGCGGGGCCACTGGCAGGAGTGACAGCCGGCGGGAGTTACAGCTGGCGGGAGTGACAGCTGGCAGGAGTTACAGCTGGCGGGAGTTACAGCTGGCGGGGTTGGCTAGTACTTGCTTCGATCAGAGGAGTGCGTGGAGAAGAGGCGGGGTGGTGTGTGGCGACAATGAGGTGCTTGGGGGAATAGGCAGTGGCAGGAGTGACAACTGTCAGGAATGCCTACTAAAATTCCCCGTTGTGAAATCCAAGGGGGTTGCTTTACAGTTCGAAAATAGGAGTGGGGGAATGGGGGGAGAAGGGGGAGGGGGGTGGAGTTTCGTTATAAGATGGGATTGACAGCCCAGGGTCTTGTTGTAGTGGATATACAGTAGCAGGAAAATTAGCATTATTACGTTGTCACAGTAGCACGCGACGGGAAAACCCTTAACACATATATATATGTATGTATATATTAACTGCGTGAAGCTATAGTTGTAACTTGTAGCGTAGCTTATTACATCCTATTGGTGGTGCACCTTTCTCTGCATGCTCCCTTTCCTGTTTGTACTCACATCTCTATAATGAACCACCTTTTTGGCCAAACATCTCACTCGTCTGCAGCTGCTGGCGGACTGCAAGGCGACCGCCGCGACAAGCAGCGCGATTGTCGCGAAATACAGCGCGAGTGCTGCAGCAGCTGCGCGATCGTCGTTCGTCGCGCGCCTCGTCCCGCCCCATCGCCCCGCCCCTTCGCCGCCGCGTCGTCCCACTGCTGCGCCTTCGCCGCCCCCCCCGTGCGCCCCCGCTGCGCTTCCCCACCCGTCCTGACCCTGCGCGCATGCGGGGGCGGTTACTGTGAGGGGAAGGAAAGGGGGAAGGGGGTGGCGGGAAGGAACGGCGGTCGTTGGCGCCCCCGCCAGTGCCATCCCGCTCCCCTCCCTTTCCTCTTCCGCGCCCTGCTACGGCGGGCGCTTCGGGGGGGACATAGCGGGACTGACAGCTGAGGCTGCGGGGGTGCTGAATCCCCCTTCAACCCCCCCCCCCCCCCCCCCCCCCCCCCCCCGCCCCTCCCTATTCCTCCTCCTCATCGCAGCAACTGCAACTACCGTGAGTGCCGCGTTGGGGGGGAGGGGGGGGGAGAGAGTGTGGGGGTGGCGGGTACGTCAAGGCAACTGCCCCTCCTCCTCTCTCTTCCGCTGCACCTGTTCTCGCTCTTCCTCCTCCTCTCATCTCCTTCTCATGCCCCCCCTACTTGTCTTTCGTTCTTTCGTTCTCTCGTTCTTTCGTGCAACTGCTGCCTGCTGCTGGCTCGCCCCCGGAGGTGCTGAGCCGTGCTGTCCTGCTGCTCGTTGCAGCCACAGCGCCTGCTCTCTCGCCCACCTGCCGTCGCTTGCAGCCACCGCTACTGCATCTGCCGTGACTGAGGTTTATACATACTCAAAAGTCACCTCGTTACAATGACACACGACACATCTTCTACAAGGAGAGCAATTGTCACATGGAGGCTACCTAAGAGAGTTGGCAGTTATTTGATTTTTGCTAAGTGTTAGTATACAGTAGATTTAGATGCAGTTACACTTCTGCTCTCATTTCATTTTTTTGCCAGTTGTCCCCGAACTCGCGGCAGCAAAGATTTCCCGCGCGGTTCAGAGTATAGGTTGACATTCTCTAGGCATATAATCAGTGCTCATTCAATAGAACAGCTTGTGGCCTGAAGAAGGCTTGTACGTCGAAACCAGTTACCATCGATATTTTACACAAGAGTTTTTTTACAAAGTACTACCAACAACCAGAGGTGTTGAAATCCTAAGTTGCTGCCACGTATCGAACTCAATGGCACCTAACCGGTGTCCTCTTCCAATGAAACATGATACTATTGCGATGGCCAACTACACATTTGTTGCAACCAAAGCAACCAACGCCGACACAAACCAACACAACACCAAGATTAACCACACTCGACGTCAAATGCAATTCCTGAAGCCCAAGGTCTCAGGAACCAATCGCACCGATAAAGAGTTGGGTGGAGTCCTGAACATTTCAGAGCCTCCGTCCCTTTGACGGAGCAAGAGAAGAGCTTGCGACACTCCAGTCCCTGCTTCTACTTGTCAGAATCAAGCAGCAGGAATGAATGAACCATGAAAGAGTTGGGTACAAGTGTGAAACCCTAAAAGGGGCTGTACCCCATATTGGCTACCCCACTACAGCCTACACATATATAACATGCATATAATTTGACACACCCCCATAGGCAAAGTGGGGGAGAGCAAGGGGTTACAAGACCAGTCAAGAGAAGCAAAGCAAGCTCAGGGTGGATCACAACGTCACCACACACACTGAGCACAAGCAGAGGGCCACAAGGCCAGTTCACATGCAGAGGTGTATATGCAACAACAACAGCACAGTGATCTCTACCTAGCAGAGCAAGCATGCAGGTATATATATAGATCACAGTACAAGCAAAGTCTACAGCAAGTGAGGAAACGTAGGCACAAGGCCTAACAGAGTGCAGAAACGCTGATGATCACCAGACGGAAGCGCCTTGGTGAATATATTAGCAGTGTTGGCCCGAGTGGCCACGTGAGCAAGACGAAGCTGACCACGCTGCTGCAACTCTCGAGCCAGGAAGTAACGCAGAGCGATGTGCTTCGTTCTGTGCTCCAGTCTGTGCTCCTGACACAAGGCAATGGCAGCCTTGTTGTCGACGTACAGCACTGGAGGAGAACGAGGCCTCTCTCCCAAGTCGGTCAGCAGGTAGGTGAGCCAGCGTAACTCCTGTGCAGCCATGGCTGTGGCGTAGATCTCAGCCTCACAACTGGAGCAGAGAACTGAAGACGAGCGTGTAGAACGCCAAGAAACCGAACCAGAGCCAAGGCTGAAGGTGTAACCCTGTGACGACCGCTGCGTAGCCTGGTCGTCAACCCAAGAAGCGTCTGAGTGCCAAGTGAGGACAACTGAGCTCCGCCCTCCAAGCACGAGCCCCATGCCCGATGTACTGCACAAGTAGCGTAGTACCCTCTTAGCAGCATCCATGTGCACCTTTCGGTGCCGACCAGGAGCCACGTAGCGAGCCAGAAGGCCAAGAGGGTACGCAAGGTCAGGACGAGTGCAGGTCATCAGGTACATGAGGCAGCCCACTAGCTCTGGGTAAGGACCACTCGGCTCTACGGACTCGTCCGAAGGTGGAGCTGAGAGCGAGTGACCTGTACCCAGAGGAGTGTGCTGTGCCGAGGACCAGGTGAAGCCGAAGCGCTGAAGGACCTGCTGCACCATGTGTGACTGAGTCAGTGTGATGGTGCGGCGTGCTCTGTCCCGGGTGATCCGCAAGCCAAGATAGCTTGTCAGCTCACCCAGGTCTGTGCACGTGTGTCTCTTCTGCAGCTCCGACTTCACCAGGGCGAGAGCCTTAGTGTCAGCAGTGGCAAAGACCAAGTCGTCGATGTACACGAGGATGTAAAACGGCGGCAGCGAAGTGTCGGTGCGCAGAAACAGCGACGGGTCAGCAGTCGAAGGAGCAAACCCAAGAGCCGCAAGTGTCGTCCTCAGTGTGTCGTGCCAGTCACGTGGCGCCTGGCGGAGACCGTAGACCGGCCGCCGGAGGCTCCACTGGGTACCAGAGGGAACGACCCAGTGAAGCCAGGTGGGCGGCGCAGCCAGATCTCCTCGTGCAGGCTGCCCTGTAAGAAAGCTGTGCTGAAGTCAAGCGAGTGAAGCTCGTAGTCACGCTGAGCGGCAACGTGCAGCAGCACCCGAAGAGTGGTCATCTTCGGGGTGGGGGAGAAAGTCTGGAAGAAGTCAACTCCCTCCCGCTGACTGAAGCCTCGAGCAACGTAACGAGCCTTGAAGACAGGCGGAGAACCTGGCGGCCGCTTCACCCTGAAAATCCACATGCCACTGACGATGTTCGCCCCAGGAGGGGGAACCTCGTCGACGTAGGTGCCTGTGGACTTCCAGGATGCCATCTCTGCGTCCATGGCTGTCTGCCACTGAGAGGAGTACTCACCCGCGATTGCCTCAGCGTAAGAGCGCGGGGTCGGGATGTCTGGTGCATCCGGGTCTCCCTCAGGGGCAAGCAGCATGGCCACGAGATGAGGCGCAGTGGCTGCAAGACACTCAAGGTCATCCTGTCTGTCCTCAAGGACGTCCGTGCCAAGAGCACACTCACTGCCGACGGACGGAGGACAGACAGACTCAGACTCAGCAACAAGACTAGCAGCGTAGTCTAGACGACATGCAGCAGCAAAGTCAACCAGCTCAGCGACAAAGGCAGACGCAGCAGCTGACTCAAACGATGGGTCAGTGACAACAGTGGCTAGCAGACGCATGACAGTAGGGTGCTCAGCACGAAACCGGTCAGACTCAGGGTCCGCAACGACAGGCAGAGAAGACGCAGGAGGAGACGGCAGAGGAACACGCTGCGGAGGAGAGGAAGGACGACGGACTACGAGGTGGGTGCCGGGGACAGCCGGCTGACGCGGACGAGGAACACGACGACCGGAACAGACACGCGAGACAGGACGCGACGCAGGCTCACGACGCTCAGTAAGACCCCCTGTCTGCTCAGCGTAAGGAGAAGGAGCAGGCAGCGGTGAGCCAGGCTGTAACGGAAGACCAGTAGACGAAGGGAGACTAGGAACCTGGCGAAGTACAGAGTGAGGCGGTGGCTGAGACGACGGAGACGGTGGAGCGAAGAACAGGCGCGGCTGTGCAGTGCCACCAGCACCAGCAGCTCCAGTACCCCCAGCAGCTCCAGCACCTCCAGCAGCTCCAGAACCTCCAGCGCCAGCTCCTCCAGGACCAGCTCCACCAGCAGCAGCACCCCCAGAACCGGCACCCCCAGTCCCAGGGTCTCCAGCCCCAGTGTCTCCAGCAGCAGCACCCCCAGACCCAGGGTCTCCAGCAGTAGCACCCTCAGGCTCAGCAGCACCTCCAGCCCCAGCAGCTCCAGCACCTCCAGTACGAGCACCTCCGGGACCAGCACCACTCCCAGCTCCAGTGACGTCAGCAGAAGTACCTCCAGCGGCAGAGCCCCAAGCTCCAGAAGCGCGACCCTGACGGCGACCGTACCAGTCGTGCAGCTGCTGTGAGGTGAGAGGCACACGCGGACGAAGGCGGCTACTCCAAGGAGACCGCGCAGCAGCAGACTCAGAACCCTCAGGCGTCGCACCCCCAGACTCAGTACCCCCAGGCTCCTCACGCTCGGGCTCAGCACCTCCAGACACAGCACCCCCAGGCTCAGGACCTCCAGGCTCCTCATGCTTAGGCTCAGCGCCCCCAGACTCTGCACCCCCCGGCTCAGCACCTCCTGGGTCCTCATGCGCAGGCTCCGCACCCCCAGGCTCAGCACCCCCAAGCTCCGCACCCCCAGGCTCAGCACCCCCAAGCTCCGCACCCCCAGGCCCAGCACCCCCAAAGATAGCACCACCCCCAGCAGGACCTGAGTCACCAGTGACCTCAACAGGCGCAGGCACGGGAGGGTCTACCTGAGAAACACCTGAAGGAGCAGGACCTGGCGCGGGGAGGGGGTCTACCTGGGGAGGACCTGGGGCGAGAAAGAGCGGCGGGGGGGGGGCGAGGGGCAGTGCGGTAGGGAAAGAGACAGTAAAAGGGGACGGACTCGTCAAAGGTGACGTCCTGAGACGGAAAGACACGGCGCGAGGCGGGGTCGTAAAACTGCCAGCCAGGCGCGTCAGGGACAAAGCCAAGGAAGACGCAGGGAATGGCGCGAGCGGAGAGCTTGTCCGCGGTGGTATCGCGGACAAAGGCACGAGCACCCCAGACCCGGATTCGCGACGCATCGCCAACCTTCCCCGTCCACAGCAGTGTGGGCGAGGTCTCTGGCAAGGAGACACGGGGCCAGAGGTTGAGCTGATGAGCGGCGTACCGGACCGCAAACGGCCACAGAAAATGGGGGGCAGCCGCATGGATCATGGAGGTACGAGCGACCCCCATGACTAAGCCATGCGGCGCTCAGCAATCCCATTCTGCTGCGGAGAGGCCGGAAGCGTGAACGTCTGGCGGATGCCGTGCTCCGCACAGAAGGCTGCCAAGAAGTCTGAGGAGAACTCACCACCCCTGTCAGAGTGCAGACGCTGGACAAAAAAGTCCGACTGGAACCGCTCGCGGAACTGGAGACGAACAGCGCGGATCCAGGGGATCAAAACATCAGGACCTCCCCCTTGCGCTGCAAGGGGAAGACCGTGGTGTAACGCGTGTAGTCGTCGACGACCAGCAGGAAGTACCGCTCGTGGCCCTGTCCACGGACGCGGGCTGGGCCCCACACGTCCAGGTGGAGAGTCTGCAGGGGAGCCTCTGTGGGAGGGAACGAGGAGGAGTGAGGAGCGGCGCGCTGCCGCCCCTCGACGCAAGGAATGCAGGGCGGCGCAGGCGAGGGAGGGAGGGCAGGCAGAGACCTGGGAAGGCCAGAGACCAGGAAGCGAGAGTGCATGCTACGAAGGCGAGGCAGGGAGGGGTGACCAAGGCGGTGGTGCCACAGGAGAGTGTCGTGCGACAGCCGGCGACACTCACACTGGGTAGCTACCTGAGCAGACGCGTACAGCTGGGGAGACAAAGGGGTGGAGCGCGACGCAGTGGTGAGGGTGTACAGACTAGACCCAGGCGCACGTGTGAACGTGGCCAGGTGACGGCCGGTCCGGGAGCACGTGCAGATCGCCACACGCTGTCCTCCAGGAGTAAAGGTGTCAACCCAGTGATTCTGAAGGACGGCGTTGCTCACCAAGTTCGTAGAGAACGAGGGGAGGTGGAGACCAGACAGCTCACCAGACGGGACCGCCGGACACGGAAGCACAGTGGGAGACCGTGCAAGCACTGGGCCCCCAGAGGGGTCAGCCAGTGAGACAGGAACAGGTGCAGGGAGGGGAGTGACTGTGGTGCTGTCGCGAAAGAAACAGCGGGAAGCACCAGAGTCAAGTGTGAAGGTGTGCAAGGCCTGTGCGGACGCAGTACCAGGAGGAGCAGACTCACAAGCACCTAGTGCCACAGGCGCTATACCTGGGGCTATACCGGGGTCAGGCGGCACACACAAGTAGCAGTCACCCTCAGCACTAACAGTCAATGCATACATGGCAGCAAGAATAGCCTCATAGTCAAGATCAAAGATAGGTACATCACGCCTAAGCAGGTCTGCCCAGTTGGGGAACTCAGTAGCATCAGGAAACTTGACGCGCCAGGCGTCGCTAAGCCGAGCGAAGCAGCGGTACTCAGTGTGAAACCCTGTGCACTGGCGACCAGTGCGGGGACCTGTGCGAATGATATAGGTGCAGCGACCAGGACCCCCAGACGCCCCACGCCCGGCATACCAGTCAAGAAGCTGCTGGGAAGTGGGGGTCTGGCGCTGACGCTGCTGCTGCTGCTGCTGCTGCTGCTGCTGCCCCTGGCCACCACTGGTGTCACCCAAGCCCCCACCACCGCCGCCACCACCACTCCCCCGTCCGCCGCCCCCGCCGCCGCCACCGCCACTGCTCCCGGCACCACCACCGCCCCCACCACTACCTCCACCCCCACGACCACCGCCACTACCTCGCCGCCTCCACCACCGCCCCCTCCACCGCCACGTCCGCCACCCCTGCCACCCTTGCCCGCCCTGAAGCCGCTGCGCTTCCCACTCGAAGCGGAAGCAGCTGCGACCTTCTCAGCACCAAGGAGGTCGACAGTAGCAGCTGCGGAGGCGTAGGAGGGGGTAAGAGGGGAGGGGGAGCACCCCTCAAAGAGGGGAGTGCGGGGAGTACCACGAGCAGCACCTACAGCTAGAATGTTCTTCTCGGCTGCTAGGAGGTGCTTCTCGAGGTCGTCGACAGTGAGAGAATGGGGGTCAAGGGTGAGGAAGTGGTCCCTGACTGAGCGAAGAGTGTCAGGGAGGCGGGTGTTGAGGAAGTAGAGAGTAAAGTACATCGGGGGGTGGTTCTCTGCGAGGAACTCGGCTGGAAGGGCGGCACGAAGGCGAGTGTCACTAGCGCGTAGGTGAGAGATGAGGTCCTCAGCGGTGGTAAACGAGGACAGGTCGGGGAACAGGTAGGGTAGCATAAGTCGACCGAGGGCTGCAGTGGCCGGGGAAGAGTAGCGGGCAACTACAGCGTCGTACAGTGCCTTGGCAGTCTTGTGCTGGCTAAAATGCGCGCGCTCTGTGATCGGCAGATGGTTGCGAATAGCTAGGCGCGCAGCAGCATCGCGGGTCTGCCACTGGGAGCGGGCTAGAGCAGGCTCAGTGTCAGCAGGAGCAACGGCAGTGCCAGACACGTAATCGAACAGGGAAACACCGTCCTTGGCATCAGTCAGGAGGAACAGTTGCAGGTCGTCGAGCCAGGTGGCGAACTCTACTGGACGACCGTCAGGATCGAACGCGAGCACATTAAGCGTCGCCATAGTAGCAGTGCAGGCAAGGCAGCGGAGATGGCGTGCAGGGCAAGCAAACGCGCGCAGTAGGGAGGCACGCGCGGCAGGAAAGGCGCTCAAGGCAAGCAGGCGCACTTGGCAGGCAGGCGCTCAAGGCAGGCAGGCGCTCTTGGCAGGCAGGCGCTCAAGGCAGGCAGGCACTCAAGGCAGGCAGGCGCTCTTGGCAGGCAGGCGCTCAAGGCAGGCGCTCCAGGCAGGCTAAGACAGGCAGGCGCGCGGCTCACGGGCGGCACACGGGCAGGGCACGCGCGGCTGCGGGCTGCGCGCGGCTGCGGGCTGCGTGCGGCTGCTGGCTGCGCGTGGCGACGGGCTGCGCGCGGCTGCGGGCTGCGCGCGGCTGCTAGCTGCGCGTGGCGACGGGCTGCGCGCCGCTGCGGGCTGCGTGCGGCGGCGGGCTGCGCGGGCGGGGCCTAAGCGGGCTGCGCGCGGGCGGCTTAAGCGGCGCGCGGGCCGGCAGCAGGCTGCGCGGGCGGCTAACGCGGCGCGCGGGGCCGAAAACGGGCTGCGCGGGCTGCTTAAGCGGCGCGCGCGGGAAAAAAAGGGCCGCGCGCGTGCAGCAGGCAAGGCAGGCAGGCAGGCAAGGCGGTAGGTGAGGTAACGCGGTAACTGGTGGGCCCTAATCTTAGGTCCTAAAGACCTACTGCTCTAGATACCATCTTAGAAACTTAGGCATGAATGGCTTGCACTATCGAGAGATTTTGGTACAAGGAAGAAACCTAAGGGGTTGTACCCCACAGTATCTACCCCACTACAGCCTACCCAAAACTATAACACGTATATATGTTTGACACACAGGGGCAGGCGCGGCTGCAGAGGCAGCACGGTAGCAGGGGCGAGCACGGCTGCAGGGGCAGCACGGTCGTAGGGGCGAGCACGGCTGCAGGGGCAGCACGGTCGCAGGGGCAGCGCACGGGCTGCAAGGGTCGCGACAGTGAGAGCTAGGGGCGCCAGCGCGCTGGCTACTGTGTAGGGCGTGGCGCTACCACTAGGCGGAACGGTGGGCCCATGTAGGAACGGTTCCTACTCTGATAACATGTCAAGAATAGAACTAGGAGTGAATGATTGGACTAGGCAAGAGGTGAGTACAAGTAGGGGAAAGCTAACCCTAAAGTGTTGTACTCATTTAGGAGTGATCCTACTGTAGCCTAGAGATACAATTGCAATTTGACACTCGGAAGGTGATGTGATGTTGGGTGCCAATCCAGGCAGCCCCATCCAGTCATCTGCTCCAACACCACCCTGTCGTACTCAACCTCGCTTCCATGGCTGGGTAACAGCCATAACCAACTCCAACACAAGCCTCTCAGACAACAGTGGTACACAGGCCAGAAGAACTGTTTTCTTGACAGAGCATAATTTATTTACCGCGTGTACTTGACAAACTGTGCTCGAATTGCAGATATGAGAGCCCACATGGCAAAATTGCTCCTGAAGAATGCTCAAGTAAACACATCGAATCTGTCACGTGCGAATCGGGTTGAGGCCAATATTAAGATCAGAGGCAATGGAGACGAGCAGAGGCTGGGTGGGATGCCATGCGGCCTTGAAGACCCGCTTGTCGTGCGCATCCACTGTGAGCGCGGGCTTCATGCCCACCCACCGCACGTCAAATATGTGCACCTTGGGATCCGCTGATCCCACGCTGATCTGCAGACAGGCACGTAAAAAAAGAAGTGTTTTGAGGCAACTGTGATGGGGGCAGGTGAGACGTCTCAACACATCCACTGTGAGCGCGGGCTTCATGCCCACCCAGCGCACATGATCAAAGATGTGCACGTTGGGGTGCGCCGACCCCACGCTCACCTGCAGCCCGCTGGGCGCCCAGCAGGAGGAGATGAGTGCGGACTGCGAGTCGGACGCCGACTGCTCCCACCCGAATATGTGCTGCTGCTTGCGCGGCGCTCGGAAGTCGTACAGCCGCAACTGCTCACATGGCGTGCTGCCATCCATGGCGCAGCAGAACGGGATGGTCAGAGATAAAAGGGTGAGGGGGGGAGGGAGGGGAGGGGGGAGTGGTTAGCGTTTATTACAGAGAGCGAGAAAGGAAGCTCACAAGGCCTGCTTGAGGGTACAGTGAATGGCTGCACTTACCTGAACCTGAGGCAGCCCACAATACCCTGTTTGCACAAGGGTGAGGGTGAAATTGAGCGTGACAGTGAGCAGCAAGTGAATTCAGCATGTCAAGCAGCAGAAACACTCAGCTGCCCCCATCACCCTCTTGGCATGCCACAGTGCATCACGGATCCACCAAGCAAGCAAGCACGAGTGCACGCGAGCATGCACGTGAGGGTGCATGCGAGGGTGCACGTGAGGGTGCTCCACTGGACCCACCCCGACTGCACGAGGAAGAGGTTGAAGTCGATGGGGTTGGCGAGCACGTCGGTCAGCCGCGAGTCCAGCATGTCCGAGAACACCAGCTGTGCACCGCCCCTCTCCGCATCGCACCCCAGAATGCGCTTGTCTGCCGCCACCGACAGCACCACGCTGCGCCCTCTGAGCCCCTCCGTGGCGTACACGCCTGCTGTGTGCCGCGTGCCGTGCAGCAGCTGCGCAGGCAGGGGGAGGGCGGGGGGTTGATGGGGACACATGGGGAGCAGGGGGAGGAATGGGGAGAGGAGGAGGTAGCGAACGAGGGGAGTGACAAATGGTACGGGGGGGAATGCAGGTGTGTGTGTGCTGCCTGTGACTGACCGCAGTGTGGTTCCTTTCGCCCACTTCAACCCCGCACTCCCTTTGTAGCACATATACCAGCATGTGTCGTGTGCCACGCACACACTGCAAGTGTGCCACTCACTCACATGACACGACCGGCAGAAACCCCAAACCTTCACAAGCCCAGGCAACCGCACAGCCCATCCCACCCGCTCACCTTGGGCGTGAGCTTGGGCAGGTCCCCTGCTGCCCCTGCGCCGCCCCCTTGGCCCTGCTCCTCGCGCCACAGCACCACCCCGTGGTCGCTACCACCCGTGGCGAACACAAAGGGCGGCCCCTCCCACGGCAGGTAGCGGATGCTGTTGATCACCCCCTTCTGGTGCGGCCGGCCTCGCTGGCAGTGCCACACAGGGGGCCTGCGCGGGTGGAGGGGGAGCACACACGTGCACAGAGAAAACAATTGCACAGAGCAGGGCTTGAGTAAAAGATGTGAGCTGAGCGGGATGGGGCAGGGAGGAAAGAGTGGAAGGGAGGTGGTGAAAGAAGTGGAGGCAGGAAGTGAATGCTGGTGGTCCTTGTGGGAGAAACTGAGGCGCGCACAGCTGCCAGCTGTGACGCTCACATTGGGTGCATTCCTGAGAGCCGCCACCTGGCACGCCTTGCCGTCCGCCTCAAAGGCGGCCAGCAGGTGCGAGCCCGAGGGGTGCCATGCTATGTCCTCCGGCCAGCGCTTGCACGGCGCACAGTCCGCTGTGAAGCGCCGACTCATGTTGCGCCTGGGGGAGGGGCACGAGAGGCACGATGGGAAGGAAGGCGAGGGGCATGTGATGGTCAACGCGAGTCAAGAGCACACGGGTCAACGCGAGTCAGAGTGGTGAAAGCGAGTGAAGGGCAGAGTGGTGAAAGCGAGTGAAGGGCAGAGTGGTGAAGGCGATTGAAGGTCAGAGTGGTGAAAGCGAGTGAAGGGCAGAGTGGTGAAGGCGAGTGAAGGTCAGAGTGGTGAAAGCGAGTGAAGGGCAGAGTGGTGAAGGCGAGTGAAGGTCAGAGTGGTGAAGGCGAGTGAAGGGCAGAGTGGTGAAGGCGAGTGAAGGGCAGAGTGGTGAAGGCGAGTGAAGGTCAGAGTGGTGAAAGCGAGTGAAGGTCAGAGTGGTGAAGGCGAGTGAAGACTCACCCAGAGGCGGTGATGGACCAGAAGCTGACCGTCTCGTCCAGCGAGCTGATAGCGATGCACAGCAACACACCTCGCACATGCATGCACACATGCACACACGCACATACGACAACACATGCACAAACACACACACGCACACTCACACGCAAACAAGAGGAGGAGGTGTCCTGCACAGGAGTGAGCTCTATGGGATGGAAAGAACCCTCATGCGCACTCCTGCAACTGCAATTGCACCAGAAAATACTTTCACATTGCATTTGACATTAGGTTAGCCCAGCCGACAGCAAGAGAGAGCCCACGCCCACCTGACAGCAAGAGAGAGCCACAGAGAGCCCACCTGACAGCAAGAGAGAGCCACAGAGAGCCCACCTGACAGCAAGAGAGAGCCACAGAGAGCCCACCTGACAGCAAGAGAGAGCCACAGAGAGCCCACCTGACAGCAAGAGAGAGCCACAGAGAGCCCACCTGACAGCAAGAGAGAGCCACAGAGAGCCCACCTGACAGCAAGAGAGAGCCACAGAGAGCCCACCTGACAGCAAGAGAGAGCCACAGAGAGCCCACCTGACAGCAAGAGAGAGCCACAGAGAGCCCACCTGACAGCAAGAGAGAGCCACAGAGAGCCCACCTGACAGCAAGAGAGAGCCCACCTGACAGCACAGTGTGCGGGGTTGGCCGGGTTGAATTCAATGGAGCGCAGGCGGCGGCGGTGGTTGCTGGGGACGTATGTGGGTGGCAGCAGGTGTGGTAACCACCGTGCTGCCCGCTGCTCACTGCCCTCACATCGCACCAGCTGCACAAGCTCCTCTGATTGGTCAGGTCCCACCGGCCAGTGGACTGTGCGCGGGACACATGAGGACACATGAGGACACATGAGGACACATGAAGACACATGAGGACACATGACGACACACGAGGACACACGAGGACACACGCGGACACACGAGGACACACGAGGACACACGAGGACACACGAGGACACACGAGGACACACGAGGACACACGAGGACACACGAGGACACACGAGGACACACGAGGACACACGAGGACACACGAGGACACACGAGGACACACGAGGACACACGAGGACACACGAGGACACACGAGGACACACGAGGACACACGAGGACACACGAGGACACACGAGGACACACGAGGACACACGAGGACACACGAGGACACACGAGGACACACGAGGACACACGAGGACACAGGAGGACACAGGAGGACACATGAGGACACATGAGGACACATGAGGACACATGAGGACACATGAGGACACATGAGGACACATGAGGACACATGAGGACACACGAGGACACACGAGGACACAGGAGGACACACGAGGACACACGAGGACACACGAGGACACAGGAGGACACATGAGGACACATGAGGACACATGAGGACACATGAGGACACACGAGGACACACGAGGACACATGAGGACACATGAGGACACACGAGGACACACGAGGACACACGAGGACACACGAGGACACACGAGGACACACGAGGACACACGAGGACACACGAGGACACACGAGGACACATGAGGACACACGAGGACACACGAGGACACACGAGGACACATGAGGACACATGAGGACACACGAGGACACACGAGGACACACGAGGACACACGAGGACACACGAGGACACACGAGGACACACGAGGACACACGAGGACACACGAGGACACACGAGGACACACGAGGACACACGAGGACACAGGAGGACACAGGAGGACACACGAGGACACACGAGGACACACGAGGACACAAGAGGACACATGAGGACACATGAGGACACATGAGGACACATGAGGACACATGAGGACACATGAGGACACATGAGGACACATGAGGACACATGAGGACACATGAGGACACATGAGGACACACGAGGACACACGAGGACACACGAGGACACACGAGGACACACGAGGACACAGGAGGACACATGAGGACACATGAGGACACATGAGGACACATGAGGACACACGAGGACACATGAGGACACACGAGGACACACGAGGACACACGAGGACACACGAGGACACACGAGGACACACGAGGACACACGAGGACACAGGAGGACACAGGAGGACACAGGAGGACACATGAGGACACATGAGGACACATGAGGACACATGAGGACACATGAGGACACATGAGGACACATGAGGACACACGAGGACACATGAGGACACATGAGGACACATGAGGACACACGAGGACACATGAGGACACATGAGGACACATGAGGACACATGAGGACACATGAGGACACATGAGGACACATGAGGACACACGAGGACACACGAGGACATACGAGGACACAGGAGGACACAGGAGGACACATGAGGACACATGAGGACACATGAGGACACATGAGGACACATGAGGACACATGAGGACACACGAGGACACACGAGGACACATGAGGACACACGAGGACACATGAGGACACATGAGGACACACGAGGACACACGAGGACACACGAGGACACACGAGGACACACGAGGACACAGGAGGACACAGGAGGACACAGGAGGACACAGGAGGACACATGAGGACACATGAGGACACATGAGGACACATGAGGACACATGAGGACACATGAGGACACATGAGGACACATGAGGACACATGAGGACACACGAGGACACATGAGGACACATGAGGACACATGAGGACACACGAGGACACATGAGGACACATGAGGACACATGAGGACACATGAGGACACATGAGGACACATGAGGACACATGAGGACACACGAGGACACACGAGGACACACGAGGACACAGGAGGACACAGGAGGACACATGAGGACACATGAGGACACATGAGGACACACGAGGACACACGAGGACACATGAGGACACATGAGGACACATGAGGACACACGAGGACACATGAGGACACACGAGGACACACGAGGACACACGAGGACACACGAGGACACACGAGGACACACGAGGACACATGAGGACACATGAGGACACACGAGGACACACGAGGACACATGCGGACACACGAGGACACAGGAGGACACACGAGGACACAGGAGGACACAGGAGGACACATGAGGACACATGAGGACACATGAGGACACATGAGGACACATGAGGACACATGAGGACACATGAGGACACACGAGGACACATGAGGACACATGAGGACACACGAGGACACATGAGGACACATGAGGACACATGAGGACACATGAGGACACACGAGGACACACGAGGACACACGAGGACACCGAGGACACACGAGGACACACGAGGACACACGAGGACACACGAGGACACAGGAGGACACAGGAGGACACATGAGGACACATGAGGACACATGAGGACACACGAGGACACATGAGGACACATGAGGACACATGAGGACACATGAGGACACACGAGGACACATGAGGACACATGAGGACACATGAGGACACATGAGGACACATGAGGACACATGAGGACACATGAGGACACACGAGGACACATGAGGACAGGGCTGCACGCTTTGCGAGATGGCAGGGCAACAGGGACACAGACAAAACATGGACAGCACAACAGACGTTTGAGAGAAAGGAGGCAAAAAATCCAGAAATTACCTGTTTTCTTCTCTTCTTTTCCACGCTCCTCCTTCCCAGGAAGCCCCCTCCCCCCCCCGCGTGCGGCCGACCCCCCCTGCAGCAGAAAGTCATCGAATGACATCCCGGCTGCCAGCCGCGCCGCGCCTCCACTCGACAATTCCCTCTTCTTTCTCCCGCCACCCTCCACGTCATCCTCCCTCCTGGCGCACCTGGCAAGCGGTGAGGCACTCTTCCTGCCCCCCCCGCCCTCATCGCCCTGCACGCCCCCCCTCTCTGTGTTCCCTGCCGCCTTGCTAGCAGCAGCAGCAGCAGCAGCAGCATGGTGGCGGGGAATGGGAGACAGGCTCCCCTTTCTGCCCTCTGCCACCCTGCGCTGCTCCTCGAGCAACTCTCCTCCTCCACCACCCACCTTCCGCCGCCCCTCCTCCTCGCTACCCTGCTCACGCCTCCTCTTCCGCTCCCACCCCTCCTCCCTCGCGCTCCCCTCCTTCTCCCTCGCGCTCCCCTCCCTATTCCGTGCAAGCCCAGTCCCTCGCACCTCCCGCACAGCCGCATGGTCATCCTTCTCCCTGGAGCTGGCACTCACATCCCTTGCACCAACACCACTGTGCCTCGCATCCCCGACTCCCACCCCCTCGCCCCTTCGTCCCTTCTCACCATACCACTCACCTCTCTCCCCATCCCCGCCTCGACTCCCATCCCCGCCTCGACTCCCATCCCCGCCTCGACTCCCATCCCCGCCTCGACTCCCATCCCCGCCTCGACTCCCATCCCCGCCTCGACTCCCATCCCCGCCTCTACTCCCATCCCCGCCTCTACTCCCATCCCCGCCTCGACTCCCATCCCCCCCTCGACGCCCATCCCCGCCTCGACTCCCATCCCCGCCTCGACTCCCATCCCCGCCTCTACTCCCATCCCCGCCTCTACTCCCATCCCCGCCTCGACTCCCATCCCCCCCTCGACGCCCATCCCCGCCTCGACTCCCATCCCCCCCTCGACTCCCATCCCCGCCTCTACTCCCATCCCCGCCTCTACTCCCATCCCCGCCTCTACTCCCACCGCTCTCTCGTCCCTCTCTGTCGTCCCCACCCACGTCACCCCTACCAAAACTTTTTTCCCTGCTATCCCGAACCTCCCTACCAAACCTTCCATGTCCGCTGTCCCGAACCTCCCTATCAAACCTTCCATCCAAGCTCTCCCGAGCGTCCCTACCAGGGCCGGCATCACCACGACCCCTCACAATCTGCCCGTTGCTCAGGTCCCGCCTATTCCTCCCTTCCATATTGTCACTCTCCGTTTCAGCGTCAGCCTGCGACTGCTGTTCCCTCGGAGTGCCCGCCTGCGCGCCGTGTGCAGTCCTCTCGATCGCTTCGCCACTCCACTCCCGCCTCCGCCCCACCTGCTGCGACCGATCCCTCACCCCCTCCGGACTCTCTACGTCCGACTGAGGAGGCAATTTCTCGGAAGCTGCCAGCACGGCTGCTGGCTGCTCGGAAGGCGGCCGTTCACGAGTGTCGCCGCCGAGCAGCCGCGCGATCGCCGCTTCGGTCGCCGCCAGTCGCTCGGCTGCCGCGTCGGCCTGCGCCAGCAGCTGCTGCCGCTCCTTCCGCTGCCTGCGCGCCATGCGCTCCAACTCCGCGATGCGCGCGTGACGATCGCCCCCGTCGGCGCCATCAGCGGCATCAGCGGCTGCATAGTCACGAGCAGCACGCTGTTGGTCTGGCGTTGAGGCCATCCCTAAATCTCGATCGCCGAAATGGGCTCGAAATTGTGGGATACGATGTCACCCTCGCAGGATAATCACCTAGATGCCACCAAGAGACCTGCAGGTTACGGCCGCTGGATCGCGATATCAACGAATTGGTAACGCAAATTCGTGACTCCGCAATCAGGGCCCAGCACATTTCGTTGGAACCACGGGAATACCCCCCAGCTTCGGGTGCAGGTTCGGCATCAGATTTTACATTCTGATGTTCCTTGACACACTGGGGGTTGGTTTGTAATTGGCAGTACTGTCCTGGTTTCGCGATGTTGCAAAACCTCTCGTTTAGAAATTCGCCACTCGTGCACCAATCCCATCCGCTTCTGCCCAACCAAGTGTATTACGCTTGGGAATATGAGAGCGAGTTTTAGGTCTGAGTACGGATCACTCGAGAATAGACACTGGAGGCTCATAGGAGACTCAGTCCCAGAAGACCAGTCACACTCTCAGGGCCCTGAGGCAGGTGGAGTAGCAGCTATATGCGTGCGCCAGGGTCACCTTTGAGCGGCTGTTTGGTTATGTGAAGATCCGTCTTATTTGCGCATATTGACAGAAAGTATTTTTTTCCTGAACAACCATATTCTCTTCTTCCTGGCGTCAGCTTTTGCTTATAGACTCCCCAACTTAAGATCGGACGACCTCAATGGACGGCTGGGATAACACGACCAAATCCACGGTTCAAAAGATCCCGCTGCTGACCGTTAAAGCAGGCCCGCGAGATGATCAATGGAAGCAGCGACTCAAGGAGGAGTTTCAGGTGCGTCGAAACGAGCCGCGGAACGAGACTTAGGGGACGAATGACATTTATATGTTAGGGGAGGGAGCAGCGACTCGAGCAGCGACTGGAAGGAGTTACATGAGTAAACGATTCACAGTTTTCTTCCCCTCCACCCGGGGTCCCCTTCCTCCACCCCCGCGCACCTGTCCCTCCTCCCACGCTCTCATCGAGTACGTGAGGATGAGCGACGCGTGCACGAGCAGCCTCCTGTCCACCCAAATTGCCCCACTCCGCCCCCCCAACCCCCCACCCACTCCCCCCTCCCGCCGCACCCGTTTCCCTCCCAGGCGCTGATTGGGCACGTCACGATGAACAAGGCGTGCATGAGTAACCTCACTGACAGCTCTCTTCCCCTCCACCCACCGTACTGCGTCCCCTCCAACCCCCGCGCACCTTTCCCCCCTTCTTCCCGCGTGGCAGGCGTTGATCGAGTACGTGAAGATGAACAAGGCGCGCGACAACGACTGGTTCCAGCTCGCACCTGCTAATGCCGAGGGGACCAAGTGGAAGGGCAAATGCTGGTGCGTGGGGTGCATGGGTGGGGGGGTTGGTGGGTGGGTGGGTGGGTGGGTGGGTGAATGGGTGGGTGGGTGAATGGGTGGGTGGGTGGGTGGGTGGGTGGGTGGGTGGGTGGGTGGGTGGGTGGGTGGGTGGGTGGGTGGGTGGGTGGGTGGGTGGGTGGGTGGGTGGGTGGGTGGGTGGGTGGGTGAATGGGTGGGTGGGTGAATGGGTGGGTGGGTGGGTGGGTGGGTGGGTGAATGGGTGGGTGGGTGGGTGGGTTAATGGGTGGGGTGGGTGGGTGGGTGGGTGGGTGGGTGGGTGGGTGGGTGGGTGGGTGAATGGGTGGGTGGGTGGGTGGGTGGGTGGGTGGGTGGGTGGATGGGTTAATGGGTGGGTGGGTGGGTGGGTGGGTGGGTGGGTGAATGGGTGGGTGGGTGAATGGGTGGGTGGGTGGGTGGGTGGGTGGGTGGGTGGGTGGGTGAATGGGTGGGTGGGTGGGTGGGTGGGTGGGTGGGTGGGTGGGTGGGTGGGTGGGTGGGTGAATGGGTGGGTGGGTGAATGAGTGGGTGGGTGGGTGGGTGGGTGGGTGGGTGGGTGGGTGGGTGGGTGGGTGGGTGGGTGGGTGGGTGAATGGGTGGGTGGGTGAATGGGTGGGTGGGTGAATGGGTGGGTGGGTGAATGGGTGGGTGGGTGGGTGGGTGGGTGGGTGGGTGGGTGGGTGGGTGGGTGGGTGGGTGGGTGGGTGGGTGGGTGAATGGGTGGGTGGGTGGGTGGGTGGGTGGGTGGGTGGGTGGGTGGGTGGGTGGGTGGGTGGGTTAATGGGTGGGTGGGTGGGTGGGTGGGTGGGTGGGTGAATGGGTGGGTGGGTGAATGGGTGGGTGGGTGGGTGGGTGGGTGGGTGGGTGGGTGGGTGGGTGGGTGGGTGGGTGGGTGGGTGGGTGGGTGGGTGGGTGGGTGGGTGGGTGGGTTAATGGGTGGGTGGGTGGGTGGGTGGGTGGGTGAATGGGTGGGTGGGTGGGTGGGTGGGTGGGTGGGTTAATGGGTGGGAGGGTTATTGGGTGCGTGCGTGGGTGGGTGGGTGGGTGGATGGCTGAGCCAAACTGTATGGCTGAAAGGATGTGGATGTGGATGTGATTAGGTTGGAGTCTTGCGAATCTGTTGTACGAGTCCCTCTGTCCCGCTCTTCCTCTTTTCCTCTGTCCCTCTGTCCCACTCTTCCTCTTTTCCTCAGTCCCTCTGTCCCACTCCCTCTGTCTCTCTCCCTCTCCCTCTGTCCCTCCCTCCCTCTGTTTCTCTGCTCTGCCCCTCACTCCCTCTGTCCCTCTCTCCCTCTCCCCCTGTGTCCCTCTGTGCCTCTGTCCCTCTGTCCCTCTGTCCTTCTCTCCCTCTGTCCCTCTGTCCCTCTGTCCTTCTCTCCCTCTGTCCCTCTGTCCCTCTGTCCTTCTCTCCCTCTGTCCCTCTGTCCCTCTGTCCTTCTCTCCCTCTGTCCCTCTGTCCCTCTGTCCTTCTCTCCCTCTGTCCCTCTGTCCCTCTGTCCTTCTCTCCCTCTGTCCCTCTGTCCCTCTGTCCTTCTCTCCCTCTCTCCCTCTGTCCCTCTGTCCTTCTCTCCCTCTCTCCCTCTGTCCCTCTGTCCCTCTCTCCCTCTGTCCCTCTCCCCCTCTGTGCCTCTGTGCCTCTGTGCCTCTGTCCCTCTCCCCCTCTCCTATGTTGGATCGGACGCCGGACGTTCGGGGATTTTTTGGGGGGGCAGCCCGAGCTGGCAAAAATTGCCTCGCCATTAGCGTTTGGCGATTTCGACGCGATTTCCAATGCGTCGAACTAACTCGTCGAAATTTAAACCCCTACCACGCTACCACAACAAAACTTCGAAACCCAACCAAATTTTCCCCTTAACCTAACTTCACCGCACTGAATCTACAAAACCCAACCAACACACAACCAATGTTTAAATCTGGCCAGCAGAAACAGGCTGTCAATTGAAATTTCGAATTTACTCGACCTCTCCCATTTCCCCGTTTTGCCCCAAGACCCCCCTCTCCCTTTCACCTTTTCCCTGCCCTGAATACCTTTCTACGCTGCCCGGACCAGCGTCCGCAGAGCGTCCTAAGGGGGGTCAATTCCTGTGCGTCCGATCCAACATAGCCCCTCTCACTACTCCTTTGTGCCTCTCTCCGTCTCTCCCCCTCTCCCTCTTTTCCTTTGTCCCTCTCTCCCTCTGTTCCTCTCTCCCTCTATCCCTCTGTCCCTCTCTCCCTCTCTTCCTCAGCCACTCTCTCCCTCTGTTCCTTTGTCCCTCTCTTTCTAACTCCCTCTATCCCTCTCTACCTCTGTCCCTCCTGTCCCATTCTCCCTCTGTCCTTCTGATCCTCTGTCCCTCTGTCCCCCTCTCCCTCTCTCCCTATGTCTCTCTGTCCCTCTGCCCATCCGACCAATCCTGATCAAGTATGATTTCAACCAAATCTGGGTCGCAATTCATAAAACCCTTTAGTTTAACATTCCAGTCACGTACCCTCCCACAACCTCTCTTTCAAGGCGTCGCACAACCTCTCTTTCATTTTCCGTTTGCCCTGCAGGTACGTGTACAGCCTGATCAAGTACGACTGCAATTCGATCTGCAGTTTCTCATTCCACTCCCGTACCGTGCCAGCCAGCCACTTGAGTTCAAACATATGTTTGCTTCCTTTCCATTTCCCGGTTTCCCTCTCAGGTTCGTGTACAACCTGATCAGTGCGAATTTGACTTCCAAGTCGACATCCCACTCACTTACCCCGCCACCGAGTTTTTATATGACTTAAGCTCACTTTTACTCCTTGTTTTTGCATGGCAGGTACGTTCACAATCTGATCAAGTGTGAGTTCGACTTGCAGTTTGACATCCCAGTCACCTACCCTGCCACTTGAGTGTTGAGGTGTCTCACAACCTCCCTCTCTCGTCCCCTGTGTGCCGTGCCTGCAGGTACGTGTACAATCTGATCAAGTACGAGTTCGACCTGCAGTTTGACATCCCCGTCACCTACCCTGCCACCGCTCCAGAGCTAGAGCTGCCAGAGCTGGATGGCAAGACAGCCAAGGTATGCAGGGCGATTGGTGACTGGGAAGGGGGGGAGGGGAGGGGGGGGGGGAAGAGGGGGGGGGTGTCGTACAGAATACCCTTTTTGAGGTGCCTCAGAAATTGTCTATAAAGCTAGAGCTGCCTGAATTGGACAGCAAGGCAGCCAAGGTATGCAAGGCGACGTGTGATCAGGATTATATATCCCTGGGGGACTGGATGAAAGGGACTTTCAGGCCGATCAATCAGCCTCTGTGTTTTGGTCTCGCTCTCTTGTCCCACAGTTCCTTCCGTCCATCACTCTTGCTCACCCTAAAACCTAACTCCAAGCCATCTCACTGTTGTGTTTCAGATGTACCGGGGAGGAAAGATTTGTCTCACGATACATTTCAAGCCTCTGTGGGCAAAGAACAGGTCAGTCTGCCTGTTCAATGGTTAATTTTTAGGCGCCTCAATTACCAGGGCGGGCAGATTTGTCTCACAATGCATTTCAAGGCGTTGTGGGTAAAGAGCAGGTCAGTCCATTCAGTAGCCTCCTCCGTTTCACCCTATGCCCCTCCTAACCCCTTTGCTATTTGATTCTATATAACTCGTCCTTACCTCTCCATCACTTGGAGACAGAAAAAAAACTTTTTGTGCCTGTTGTGCTTCCCATCCCCCCATCCCCTTTAACCCCCCTCCCACATCCCCTACATGGCCTTTGCCCCTTGTCTTTGCCGTCAGTCGTCGATTTGGGATAGAGCAAGCGCATGTTTAGGCCTTGGGCCGCGGCTGGCAACACAAGACTTTTCAGACGTCTCAGAGGTTCCCCGTTCCCCCATCCTCCACATGCCCTTTGCCCCTTGTCTTGCTCACAGTCCTCGGTTCGGGATAGCCCATGCGCTGTGCTTGGGCCTTGGGCCGTGGCTGGCAGCAGAAGTGCCGTTCCTCGTGGACTCCGGTGTGGTTCGCCCCAAAGATGCCACAACAATAAAGCCGCCGCCCAATGCTTGACAATTTCTTGAGGATTACCTATTTTCGCAGATCACCGTCATCGCCCGGATTTAAGACATACATGTCCTATCCAATACTGCTCCAAAGAAGGGTCATTAATCTTATAAGCAGAACGTTCAATGTGTCTTATAAATCTTGTAAACAGGAAACAATTTCTTTTGTAAAGTTTGTCATTGCAGGGCTGTTCTCGTCAAAATACGAACACCGGAATGAGAAATACCAGCAGGAATGAGGTTGTATTCCAACGCAGAGACACCATCCGAAGTTGGGACACCTGGTTGGTTTTACTATTTGCTTTCAAGTCAAGGTCTATATAGGATGTTACCCCGTAGTGTGAAAGGCTGGTTAATATCTCAAACTTAATCTTGCGTGAGAAGAAGCTAGTCTCGATGTGTTGGGTGAACTCACTCAGCCGCACTTACTCAACTCGCTGACACGTGTGACGTGATGTGTACTAGGGGAATTGCGTATTTTCGTGTGCATGTTTCACAATTGCAATTTTCGCAGCATTGTTTCGATCTAGATAGGGGAAGTAGCCATGCAGCATGAGAAAACGCTGAAATTGTCCCAACTTCATATGGTGTCCATGTGTTGGAATACAATCTGAGATGTTACGAATAGTAAATTGTGAAAGCATTGTGCACTCCTAGCAGTGGCAAGCGAGGTGTCAGAATAGTGTGCAGGAATGAATGACTAGAAAGCATGGATGAGTACAAGTAGGGCAATGTCTAACCCTAAAGTGTTGTACTCAGTAGAGGCTAACCCACTACAGCCTACAACATAGAAACATAGTTTGACACACCCCCATAGGCAAAGTGGGGGATAGCAAGAACAACCAACGGTCACAAGACCAGTCAAGCAAGAGAACAAAGCAAAGCAAAGCTCAGGGTGGATCTCAAGATCACCACGCATTCTGAGCACAAGCAAGCAGCCACAAGGCCAGTTCACATGCAGAGTTATAAAAGCACAAGCAGCACAGTGATCACAACCTAGCAAGAGCAAGCATGCAGGTATATATACATATATATATATATATATAGACCACAGTACAAGACAAGTCAAGCAACCAGCAGGTGAGGCAGAGTAGGCACAAGACCTAGAGCAGTGCAGAAACGCTGATGATCACCAGGCACAAGGGCCTTGGTGAAGACATCAGCAGTGTTGGCCCGAGAGGCCACGTAAGCAAGGCGCAGCTGACCACGCTGCTGCAACTCTCGAGCAAGAAAGTAATGAAGAGCAATGTGCTTCGTTCTGTGCTCCAGTCTCTGCTCCCGACACAAGGCAACCATGGCCTTGTTGTCGACGTACAGAACTGGAGGAGAACGAGGCCGCTCACCCAAGTGGGTCAGCAGGTAGGTCAGCCAGCGTATCTCCTGTGCAGCCATGGCCCCAGCGTAGATCTCGGCCTCACAGCTGGACCCAAGCACAGAAGACGAACGAGTGGACCTCCACGAGACAGAACCAGAGCCGAGACTGAAAGAGTAACCCTGTGACGACCACTGAGTCGCCTGGTCGTCGGCCCAAGAAGCGTCGGAGTGTCCTGTGAGTACCACTGGACCCTGTCCTCCAAGCACGAGCCCCATGCCCGATGTACTGCACAAGTAACGCAGTACCCTCTGCGCAGCTGTCCAGTGCTCCTTCCTGTGTCGCACGGGCGCGACGATGCGAGCAAGGATGCTGAGAGGGTACACGGGGTCAGGTCGTGTGCACGTCATCAGGTACATGAGGCAGCCCACAAGCTCTGGATACGGGCCACTCGGCTCTACGGACTCGTCCGAAGGTGGAGCTGAGAGCGAGTGGCCTGTAGGCAGAGGAGTGCGCTGTTGACGTGCGTCAAAGACGAAGTTGACAAGGGCAAGGTCGACTTGACCTATTGCCTGACGGGTGACATGGCAGCCGATTTCCTCACGAAGCGACTGCCCGTCAGCAGTACCAGCACTGCTCCGAACTCACCGGGGTGGTCAAGCGGGCCAAGACTTGCTACGGCCAGGAGTGAAGGGGGGTGTTACGAATAGTAGATTGTGAAAGCACTGTGCACTCCTAGCAGTAGTAAGCGAGGAACACAATGAAGAGTATGAAGATGAAAAAGCGGAGTGACGCGAAGGGTCGTGTACGGTTACGAAGCATCTGGACCGTCGGAGCAGAAGCATCGGGCAACTTCGGTGGCGAGGATTCTGCCGGGAACAGTTCATAACTGTCAGCAGTCGCACGGTTGAGATTCGCTGCAATAAGGGAATGTACCCCTTAAGATACATGTCGGAGAACCTTCTTCCTGCACCTTGGTCTTCTTCCTGCACCTTGGTCTTCTTCCTGCACCTGCTCTTCTCATGCCGTCTCTTCCTCCTGCCTCTGCTCTTCTCCAGCTGTCTCTCTTGTTCCTCCGTTCTCCGTGTTGTCTAGCCTCACTCACCCACATGAAAGAGATTGGTCCCTCACCCCGTAGGTTCCCTCTTAGTGACGTGCCTCAGTGTGCTAGAGCGAAGACATCAACTTTCACTAGTTCGAGAGAATAACAACGAGAAAGCATCGAGGGGTTGGACGTGAGTGACCTTACCCAACCCCAGGCTGCACATTTCCAAATGTGCGGCTCGGGGTTGGGATTGATTGGTTTCACATTTCGCCCTTCGGTGTCTTTTCCCCCTTTCATCCCAACCGCTCCTATCCCGTTTTCCCCCTTCTACACCCCTTCCTAACAGTTACCTCGCTACATTCTACACCTTCAGCCTATTTCAGTTCTATACTACTATAACCATCTATTCTTCCTATGGCTGCAACCTAGAGCCCTGCCTATACCAACACCCTACTGTTATTGCATATGCATTAGGTGCATATGCGGTGACAGCTGACGGAGAACCTTCTTCCTGCACCTTGGTCTGCTTCCTGCACCTTGGTCTTCTTCCTGCACCTTGGTCTTCTTCTTGCACCTGCTCTTCTCCTGACGTCTCTTCCTCCTGCCTCTGCTCTTCTCCTGCTGTCTCTCTTGTTCCTCCGTTCTCCGTGTTGTCTAGCCTCACTCACCCACTGCCCCCTCCTGTGCTCGTGCTCGAGCTGCTTGAGCTCGTGTCACAGGACCATCCAGCTGAAGCTTGCCCCCTTTCACCATGGCCGTGTTACTCTGGTGCTCCTTCAGAACTGCTCCCTTCTCATTTTCCAACACCAGTACCCCCGAGGGACGTACCTCCCTCACTCTCCACCTCTCAGAGCCCACCCCGACATCTAGGGTATATTGCTTTGCCCGTTTCAGGTACACCTCCTGTCCCTGACTAACTCCCTTCTTTGCTCTTCCCCCCGCCCCTTGCTGCTGCCGCTGCTCATAGCGCCGAGCATCTCTCAGCTGTGCGGTGTGGAGGTTTTCCAATGCAGCTGGCATCATGACCCGCAGGTACCTTGCCCTGGCTTCTGACAGAGCCACCCAGTTCTCTATGGTGCCTGCCGTCACTGAGTCTGTGAGGACCCGGGTTGCTCCCACTGGCAGCAGCGGTTCACATCCATATAGGAGACTATATGGAGAGTGATCTCTCAGGGCCGCCTGTTTCCCAAACCTGTACCCTGCTGCAATCCAGTGCAGCTCCTCATCCCAATCCCGCTTCCTCTTCTCCCCATATGCTCGCAGTCCCCGCTTAAGGGTCTGCACCAGGCGCTCTGTCAGCCCATCACTCTGTGGGTGGTACTGAGAAGTGCGCCTGTGGGTGATCCCTGTCTCCTCCAACAGCTTCTTGAACTCCCCTTGGAACTCGGTTCCCTGGTCCGTGAGGACCTCTGCATGTCAAACTTATATGCTATAGTCTGTGTAGGATGTAGTGGGGTAGTTCATATGGGGTACAACACTTCTAGGTTTTCCTACTTGCACCCACCTGCTTGCTAGTTCATTGATTCCTCGCTTTTACTTTCACATGGTTTCAGAGCAGGTTCCCTAGTGGGAACGATTTTTTTAGGGCCCACCACTATTTTTTTTTTCCTACCTGCCCGAAGCGCGCTGTCGCGCCTGCCTCACCTGCGCCGTCGCGCGCCCTGCCCTGCTGCCGCCCGTCGCGACCCTGCCCTAACGGCCCGTCGCGGCCCTGACCTAGCCGCCCGTCGCGGCCCTGCCTTTTCGCCGCCCGTCGCGGCCTGACTCGCCGCCCGTCGCGGCCCTGCCTTGCCGCCCGTCGCGGCCCTGCCCTGCCGCCCTACGTCGCGGCCCTGCCCTGCCGCCCTACGTCGCGGCCCTGCCCTGCCGCCCCACGTCGCGGCCTGCCTCAGCCGCCCGTAGCGGCCCTGCCCTGCCGCCCCACGTCGCGGCCCTGCCGTCTCCGCCGTCCTGCCCTTCAGCCGCCGTCGCGCCTGCAGCACTCGTCGCGGCCCTGCCCTACCGCCGTCGTGCCTGCAGCCGCCGACGCGGCCCCACCGTCGCGGCCGCCGCCGTCGCCGCCTGTTGCGGCCCCGCCGTCGTGCCTGCCCTGCCCGCCCCTGGTGAGCACCTGCCCTATGCGCGCTACCCGCGCCTGCCTGCCGGCCGAGCCGCGCCGCCCAGCCGAGCCGCGCCGCTCCGCCGAGCCGCGCCACCCAGCCGAGCCGCGCCGCCCAGACGAGCCGCGCCGCCCCACCGAGCCGCGCCGCATTGCCCTATTGAGCCGCGCTGCCGTGCCCGCGCTGCTCCTACTACTACAGCTGTTTCTGCTGCTACTGCTGCTACTGCTGCCACTGCTGCTACTGCCGCCATGGATAGCCCTACGGTTCTTACCTTCGATGCTGAGGGTCATGCAGTTGACTTCAATGTCTGGGTAGATGATCTGCAGCTGTTTCTTCAGTGCAATTCTAAGGACGGAGTCTCTATTTTTGATCTCACGTCCGGCGCCTCTGCTGCACTTGCTGCCGATGCTGACAGTACAGTTCGCTCGCAGTGGACTACTCGTGACGCTGTTGCTCGCCTTGCTGTTCGTAGTCACCTGCCGTCTGCTGAGCGCGCGCACTTTGGCCAGTACAAGACCGCTGTCGTCGCGCGCTACTCCTCCCCTGCC